GCAATACCCTTCTTCGTTTCATTCGATTCGACTCACTTCAATTCATTTCACCATCTGCACTTCTTTCGCGTTTCTCCTTGCGCTCGCTGCGAGTGATTAATTTCCTTCCGCCGCTTCAACGCGCTAGCCTTGACACGAACCAGACTTGACTTCACCAACCCGACTCTCCTCCTACGTGTTACGACGACAGTCCGAGTGTTTGAGGCATGTTATGAGATATAGGCCTTGGAGAAGAAGAGAAGGAGCCCTCTTCAGTCGCCGCGATGGCGTCTCAGGACAATAGGACAACGATTCCACAGCCTCCGAATATCGACGATTCGAGCCGGGTCGCAAATTCCGAAGCAGGAGATGTAGAGAGTATTCTGTCATCGCGGATGACAGATATCGCCTCGGAGGATGGCAGAGATCCAGCCGCAGATCCAGCGACAGGCTCAACTGCACAGCAACCCGGTCAACGACGTAGTGTTCAAACAAACGCTTCGAGACCGACGACCAGCTTGACTGGAGTTTCGACCCAACGAGGCACATGGTCTCAAGCCTCGGCATCTCGAAGAGGACATGCCTCACTCAACAGTACAGCACGGGGCAGTGTATCGACAACCGCTGGTCCAAGACCAAAAAGTGGCAGGTCCCATGTCCCATCCCTCACTTCACATGCCTTCTTTCACCCGATGAGTTCGCAAAGGCTGCAGGCGCAACGAGGAGGTGCAAGACCACCAGCTTTGACACAACAAGGCGTGAGTGAGAGCCTATCCCAGGGAGGTGGCATGCTCCGGAGCAGCGTCAATACCAATCCAACAGCCAGGCAAGGAGATGATCCAGATGGACCGCCACCACCTTCGAGAGGGACGGAAATGACTGAGCAGGAGACTATGGAAAGAATCACAGCCAATACAAGCCCAACCCAGGGTCACCATCCAGCTGGAAGTCTGACCGAGAGTGTACGGCCTTTGCAACGGGGCCCAGCCAATGCCAAAGGACTCAGCCTTGCGATCGACAAGAGCTACAAAAATGGGAATGGACTTGCCACGCCCTCGAAATCTCCTCGGTCATTCCGGTCTAGCTTCCTTCTACCCAGTCGTGGCGATGTAGCACCAAGCAGTCCTAACCGAAGCAATCAAGGGAGGGAGAAGTTATCTTCAATTGCGTCTTCACCTGGTTTGACACCAGTTGATCCGCCCAAAATCGTTCCCAAGACTCCAAAGCTTGGTAGTAATTACGAGTATTTCACTGGTAACACAGTATTTTTCTGGGGTGGAAGGATACAAAACACCCGGCATAGGCCCATCAACATTGCCACAGGGCTATTATTTGTGATCCCTGGAGTGCTCTTCTTTGTATTTTCAGCCCCTTGGCTGTGGCACAACCTTTCGCCAGCTATCCCCATTGTGTTCGCTTACATTTACTACCTGGCGATGTCATCTTTCGTCCATGCTTCCATTTCTGATCCAGGGGTAAGTCTTCATTTCCAATCATGTAGAGTTGACTGACACTTACTAGATTCTTCCTCGAAACCTTCACCCAATGCCCCCTCCTGAGGAGAACGAGGATCCGCTTCGGCTAGCACCCCCAACAAACGATTGGACTATGATCAAGTCTGCTCAGTCTGCTACAGCAGCCATGGAAGTTCCAACCAAGTATTGCAAGACTTGCAATATCTGGCGACCAGCTCGTGGCCATCATTGTCGTATTTGTGATAACTGCATCGAGACCCAGGACCACCACTGTGTATGGATCAATAATTGTGTGGGCCGACGCAACTACCGATACTTCTTCACGTTCGTCTCGTCTGGTACCCTTGTTGGACTGTATCTTCTCGGCGCAAGTCTCGCCCAAATTCTGGTGTATATGAACCGACAAAACATCTCCTTTGGTGCAGCAATAAACCACTTTAGAGTCCCATTCGCCATGGTCATCTACGGCGCCGTCGGAACTCCTTATCTTCTAGCTCTCATGGTCTATCATCTCTTCCTCATGGGCCGCGGTGAAACAACCAGGGAATATCTCAATTCTCACAAATTCCTCAAGAAAGACCGCCATAGACCGTTCACCCAAGGCAACATCCTCAAAAACTGGTTTGTGGTGCTATGTCGGCCCCGACCTCCTACATACCTCAACTTCAAGCGCAAGTACGAAGAAGGTGATCAGCGCTTTGGAGAACGGAGAGGGACGCGAACCGCTCCACTACGGAAAGAAGTCCAAGGCAAGGGCGTAGCAATGGAAATGCAAAACGTCCCTGCTGAGGATGGAGGCTTCCAAGGTCCTTCAGCATTAAGAGAGACCAATGGACAGCCCCAGGCTTAATCGGTCCTGCTTTTCTCTATCTTTGTTCTATTTTTGTGTGGTGTACGATTTAGCGATTCTTATTCTTGTTGCTTCGGGGAGGGAAGGTTTGGTAAAGGAAATGGGAAGACGGGGATGGAAAACTTCTTGAATACTAAATAGTGGTAATATTGTCTTTTCTATTTTTGGAGCTGGGAGGGGAGGAGGGGGAATACCTCGGGTAATGTGTTTGTTATGACACCCTGAGAGTGGCCTGACGGCGTGTATTCTTTGTATCATAGGTGGGCGAGGTGGGATGAGGAAGTCGGAAAGAGATGAAACGAGGCAGAGGCGTTGTGTGTAATTGAGATGGGATGCGGTCGTGCTATAGATATACCCGCTGTTGTTTACTGTATAATTGGCACATGTTGCTGTGCAATACCATCGAAGCTTTCTTCACATTCTCTCTGCCATTCTCTCCTATCTTCAAATAGCGGACAAGCATCGCTGGTTCACAATAACAACCTTGGTAGGGCAGTAGTTGTTGGAGTGGCAGTCCATCCCTTCGATTTTCTTCCCCTAAAAAAATTGGCTATTTTCAGGAGTCAGGACTCTTGTTTACTATTCCTGATAATTCCTCGTATCCCAACCCCCAAAACACCAACCTCGGCGGACGAGCTCTGCAACCCCTTCCTCTACCTCATCTATCCTAGGAAAGAGTCACATCAGCCTCTCACCTTCCACAAGCTCCATCATCCTCCCGTCTATGTTTCTCTTCCATTTATAATTATGGTTTGACGCTTGGTGTCTGATGAAGCGTTCGGATGAGAGTTTGCCGGTGACAACAATGGTGATGCGGGGAGTGGCAGTAGTAAATCGTAATTTACATGGGAAGTAGTAGTGTCGGATACATGTGGAGGAAGACGTTCCTCTGTCGATAAGTAGTATCGGGATTTGAGATGAGTCTTCACTTGATGCCAGTTGAGTTCAAGGTGCCTTTTGATCGAGGTGCTCTTTGATCACTTCATTCCCTGATGATAGTCTGTCGGGGGTCATGTTGCTAGGAGGGGGTTGGTTATATACTTCATTTTCGAGTTTGGAGAGGGGCGTTGACTTGGTGTCAAAGCACGCATTGTACTCCTTTCAGAGGTGAGGAGCTTTGTGTGCTGAGATTGAGACGATGTAGATCAGGATCTAAGTGCAACCCGCAGATCTCTTTAAATATATATATAAAGTTAGGTATTTTTGCCTTCTCGTCCCGAGATGTATTGTTCCCAGTGCTATTATCTATAACTACGCCCTTCAGATATCGTCCGAGGATCTCATGCCTTGAACTAAAAGAACGGGACAGCAAATTCCTGGCTGCAGACCGAGTATGAGGGAAGCAGAAAAAAAGTTAGATAGCTGAAAGCTGTCAAGTACAGTGTCTCGTTTCTAGAAGCTAGATTTAGGGAATCTTGTTATCTTGACATATGAAATCAGGTTATCTAGCATTGCTGTCATTATCAAGAGTGTCGTCACTCTGATCTCCTTCTGGGGATGAGAAACAGAGTCTTTTCAACTTCTGAGTCCAGTACTTTACATGATGAGCTTGAAACGTAAATTGACAAGATGAAAGGTAATGGGACTTTTGTCAGCAGTACTTAATCAAATGATGCCGAATGCTCTTTCTCGTCCGCGGTAGTCCGTGGGCTTGCTTGCACCTTGCGAAGGTTGAACTTTTGAGTAGCGCATGAGTGCTCGCTTTGATCGGACAGAGTGTGCCGGTCTTTCTTTTATATTGCCAGCTTTCTATCTTGAGTAGACTAAGTTTTATTTACTTCGGAACTTTTTCTGCGATTTGCTTGGTCGCTCTCTATATACCATTAGAAATTACAGTCAGAATGTCAGAAGTTAGAAATTCAAGCATCAATTTCTGGCATTCAAGAAGTGAATAACTTAAAACTCATATCTCGTCTCAAAAACTGCAAGAGACATGTTCAGCCAGAGGATGGCACGACTAAACGGATCCCCTGGAATGCGGTACCTTTTTCTTTACAAGCACACTAGAATGGGAAATGGGAATCGCATTTTGTCTTTTGTGCAACTGTACGGGATTGCGTAGGAAGACGAGATAAATGCTACAAGGTCAGCGCCTGAGATCAAGTGGACAACTCTATGAGTCCTCGGGGCTGTTGGAAACACTATTCCGTCTCCCAATTCCGGCGGTCTTGGTTGTCAAACGACCAAGTGTTGTTGATTTTCATGGTTCGTCGCCTGCATCTGTCGACCTAATTTCCAAACTTCAGTCAACCACCTTTCTTGCTCTCAAAGCTACAATCTTTCTGGCAGCAATAGAAATTGGCTGTGTTAGAAACCTAACTTAAAGGTTCTTCTCAGTCTAAGGGTCCTGAGGGAGGAACTCTGGTATTCTGGCCCTGCTTGCTTTCATAATCGACTTGGTTCCCACTCCGTTTATACTTCCAGCTCAAATTTCTCGCATGTAATCTTAGATTCACTCCCAAGTAAAATCCAGTAGTCATCTTCCAAGATTCACTTTTGCACTCATTCCCCTTGCCCGAATTTTCGCCATACGTACCTAATATCCAAGCACCCAGAAGTGAAAGGGAAAACTCTGCAAAGTGGGGGACCCCTTCGGCAAACGATCCCACCTCAACCCACCACTCATATTTCACAATCCTCCACAAATCACTAACCCAAACACATATCCAAATAAGAACGACACGAATATATCATCTGGACAGATGGCCGAGCTGGTTATGGCGCCAGGTTAAGGTTTCCTTAGCAACAATCTCCTGGTCACGAAAGTGGCGTGGGTTCGAGTCCCACTCTGTTCATTGAGAATTTATTTTTGCCTTTCTTGGTGGCCCTTTTGCTTTTCTTTTGATTTCTTTTTTAAGCACGGTATTCTTTTGGTTGTTATTTAAAGGAATGGGAATCTGTATTAAGCTTTCGTATTATATTCTAGCCTTTTTTGCACGTCCGAAGATCGTCCTCTTTCCGCTTGTGTATTTCGCTTGGTTGAGCATGGAAGTCGTGTCAGGGAATCTGGAGGAACTTGAGAGGTGTCTATCGCACTGGTAATAATCTTACGTAGAACCAAATACTGTTGGCGTTATTTGGTCAGTAGCTACTTTGCAGAAGATTTATGAATATATTCAACTGCCTTTAAACCTCCAGTCAATGGCCAGTAGGTTGACCAAAGTTCAAAACACATTCATGAGTCACTTACTACACCCTGCACATCCTCGATTTGAATCCACGACCGTTACTGGAGCCACGAAAGCCAGCCAACTTAATTTCAATAGGCATATGTGACTTTGTGAACTACATACCCTATCCTCTTCTCGTAATTGAGGTGGCATGATGTACTTAACTATGGGAAGTTAGGTACACTAAGCTCCAGCTCTTTGTTTTCAAAGTCCTCGCTGATATTATTCAGTGAAGACTATCCATACACGCTGTCATGGCTGGAAGTAGAGAAGACAGTACGAGATTTGTATGTGATAGAAGTAAACAGAACCTTAAGATATGCAGATTGGTAGAAACAATATCGATTCATAAACTTCTGTGTGTTACAATCACAGTATCCAGTGTGCTTTTGAGGCCATGGGAGGAGTCATGGAAAGCAGGCTGAGGAGCATTGAGTCTCAAACAAGCTATTACCAAATCTCCAATCTCAACTTTTAGTACTACGTACTCATCATATAAAGGGGGAGAACAGAATTAAGGTTAAGCATCCGTGTACGAGACCTAGGATTCTGGGTCGAGGATATTCTCCAGACCAATACGGGGTGCATAGAGAACTGCACACCTTTGTAATATATGGAATCTTTTTGATGTGATAGAAGGCAATATTCTCTATTGCTTCGACTTTGACAGCTGGAGGGGATAGGGATCTTTAGAACTAGCCCCCACTGGGAAATAGAAATCAAAAATTAACAGCCGAACTTGCGGATGGGTTCTAAATGGCAGATTGCCATCGTCTTTTCCTTCTAGATACCTTTCAAATAGGCCAGCAATCAATTTCCAATCGGGAGTAGATATGTATTCTTTCTGCTTGAAATGGACAATCGGTGCCGTTCATAGCTTCGGCATTTGTTCATCTCTATAGTAGTCTCCACCTGGACTTCCGAGACACTTGTTGCCGAGCTTCAGACCGTTGTCGATCTAGTATTTGCTGTAACTAGACAGATTAGTCGAGCCAGGGGAGGAATCGAATAGCAGCAGATCATAAAGTAGAAGCTCGAGAAAATTGATTGTTGTTCCTGTAATATGACAGGCTGTTGTGCTCTTGACAGGTCTCAGGTAGCAGTGGCTTCGTTGCGTTGAGTTTCGTCAGAAGCAATGGCTCTTGTTGTGACTGTTATTCCCTGCAACAGAACGAATATTTCAGACAGAAACATAATGAGGATTGGCAACGAGTGTTGGCGGAAGTACGATTTGTTCCAGTTGCAAGGTCGTCTTTGAAAATGGGGCTGAATTAGGTAGCATTTTGCTCACTACGCCACCGTCGAGGTCTGTTTGTCTGTCCAGAAACGCAACGCAGATATGAAATATCTCAAGTTACACTCTAGGTAGCTCAAATCGAACCAGTGTTGATTGGAAGTCCAGGGTAGTCGTTACATTGAGCCCAACTAGGGTATCTGGTGCTGCCTTCTCTTCTAGCAATTTACTCCCGATATCACACCACGCCATATGCCCAGGAAATATGAAAGTATTCAGGGCGGCCACAATCAATTCAGAAGCCTACATGAAGGATGCGGAGGAATTTCTCCTTGTAAAAACAATTGTAAGATCAAGCCTGAGCTTGGGGCGATGAAGGAGCGTTCAAGTGACTGAACAGTATTGAGGGCCGCAGGTCAAAACCTCGTTACGTAACCTCCATCACCAAGAACTGAGTTTCGCGACGAACACGCTCATAACCAATGAATCTCAAACTGTCACGCCCTCAGTAATTGTAGATATTCAGTCGCATTAAAATTCGTACCTTGGATGTGGCTCGCGGACTTGGGTACGTTGAAGTGTTGCAGCGCTACCAAGGGGTTGAAAAGTCGAATAATTTTAGGCGTTGACATAGTACACTACTGATTGCTGCTATAAACACTTGATCTTGCAAGGTGAATATGGTCAACACAGAAGGTGCTTTAACGTCTTGAAGTTCCGTGAAACTCGCAATATGAGGTCAAGGCTGGCGAGCTCCACTGATCACAGAAGACCTTCATCCCGATTAGCCGCATAACGCAAACGCCACGTAGAAAAGCAAACAGCTGTTTCCCAGAATCTTGCCCCAATATGCCCAAAAGACACGAGTGCAATGCCTTCGCTGCGATGCGGTTATGATTATGTTGACCGCATTCTGTTGCCACCATTGTGTGGCGATGTGAATCCGGCCAGGGCTCGGGATTACTACATTTGATCGACCGTGGCGCAGATAGTCAAAATACAAAACAATCGCAACTACCTATGAAAATTTACCGCAACGCAATCTTCCTTTCTGTTTGTCAATATACCGAAGGCCAAAAACATAAATCACCCTCGTGTCAGAAATAACGTGCAAGTGTCGTGGTTGACGGAGGGGGAGGACAGTTGAGAACTCAAATCCCCACCTTTGAAACAAATGAAGCTCTCAGACATAGCAGCTTGCGAGGAAGCCACTGAACTCCTTATCGCAATTGAGGTTGAATAGAACCACAGACATTATGAGAGAATGCCCCCAACTTTGTACCCAAGGCTGCATTGTTTATGTTGGGCTGGCCCATAGCCTGCCGATGTGGCGGCCGAATGCTGGGACCAGTGATAACAGCAGCATATCGTATGCCTCCTAAAAGGAGGAACAGAACTTATCAGCAAATCCATGGGAAGGCTGGAAGTTATTGGACTTCAACTCAACAAGCACTTACAGAAGTTACCTGACCTTAGTTCGCTTGGGACTCTTTCAAACAATATGTAAGCTACAAGCTAGTACCTACTAATTCAAGTGTGCACCAGTGTTAGGCCACAGAAGTTGTTTGCACTTGTGATGTCAGCAATTTGAGAGGACACTATGCATCTGAGGAGGTCAGCTAGAAAGTGGTAAAGGAGGAACGGACAATTAAGGGGGCCCAAATGCATGCTGCCACTGTCCTGAGCCTTTGCCGTAGTTAAGAAGAGGATCAGTGACAATGAAGTGTATCGTAAGGTGTAAACAAATCACTCAGTGAGACTTTGGGGCATAGAGCCTGTTTCGTAAAGGCACGCAAGTGAGAAATTGCGGTCTCCCTATTCGCTAGATCAAAGTGATGTTTTTGACCTGCTCGCTCTCTCAGATCCCAGCCACGCATTTATAAGTCTACCACCACACGAACCTTCCCTCCTTCCTTCCCCGCAGACAACACCAGACTACAACTCCCAACTTCGTCAGTTCTCACACTGCACACGTTTTTATCATTGCTGCTTCAGATTCTACGGAATCGTCTTGAAGGGACAAAGCTTCTGGCTATCTCCACCCATCTGCAGGAGTCCCCCTCGCCAATACCAATCGGCAATTTCCGTGCACAGCTCTAGGTCGCGCTTCTTGAACAACAATACTCCCTCACCACATGCAACGCGACAATGACTGAAATCGCCATTCTATTCGATCTAGGAGACACGATGAGAACATCCCCTCTTCCTCCCGCTCCTGAGATGGCGCGCGCTTCATCCGCAGACTCCGTTCTCAGTGTCATCACCGTCGACAATGCCTCGAACGCGCAATCCTCCTCCTCTACACCCCCAACCAGCATTGGTGACAGTGGAAGCGTGTCATCTTCTTCGCTGAAGCTGGAGGATGCTATTATGACACCTGCGCCAGATACCAATGGCCGCAGCCGTCGTCAACGAACGAGCATCAGCACGTATAACGTGAAGATCCTCAGTGGCACTGCCATTCATGCGCCGAAGAAGTTTAGCACAGATCCAGCAGTCCGCGGAGAATCTTCAACTCGTCGTCGTCGTACTATCTCAGGCGACACGCTTCTCGGCAGCCTTGCTTCTACAAATGCGTCTACTGCGACAATTGAGAAGACAGCAAACCGAATGGTCCAAGATGGCGTGGAGGCACTTAATCTACAATGGTCTCCTAAGGCACTCCCAAAGTCCATTCCAAAGTCAAAAAGTCAGACCAGCCTTAGCGGCAGCCCAAGAAGAAGCGCGAAGCAACGAGATCTCGAGCGTCGCAAGTCTTCGCGCCCTGCAGCAGAGATAGTTCAGAGCCTTACCAAGAAGCTCAGTGTTCTGGGAAAGAGAAGTCGCCAGACCTTCGACGACAGTCTGGCTGGTAGCCTAGCTGGATTGACAAGAGCCAAACGAGAACTTCGAAATCTTGCCGACACCAACGAATTTGCGAAGATCGACACACAGCCTGTTCTACATGAAGTATGGAGCAACGGTAAATTGGTCAAGCCCGAAAATCCACGACAGAAGAAGAAGGCGGAGGAGGCCGCCCTTGCGAAGGAGAAGGAGAAGCAAAAACTGAAGGAGGAAGCCCTGAAGTTAGCTGAAATCCCCAAGCCTGTTGGCAAGAGGCAAAAGGTCTGGCTCACCAAAGGATTATATGCTGGACAGGTTGGAGATAATTTGAATTGGTTCAGCGGATCTTCTGAGAAGTCCATGAGGGATGGAGAGAAAATCGCGCCATTCAAGCCAAATAGCTTCATGCCGCTTCCAATGTGGCATGGGCAGCGATTGCTTCATTTGGGACGGGACTTCAAATTACCTTTTGATATCTGTTCACCACTTCCTCCCGGACAGCCAAAACCCGATGAGTGGAGAAAGACCTCAAGCAGTAAGTTCACTTTATATAGAGGCTTGGAGCTAG